ATATAATTAAGTGTTAGGTTATTTAATTTAGACTGACCTTTATACATAGGTGCCATTATTATTACACCTTTATTTGACCCTCTAACTCTAACACTTTCTCGTGTACTGCGTTAGGCTAACCGAGACTTGTCATTTGCACTTATATATTGTTGCTCTTTTGTTAGTTTTGACTGCTATTATTGTCCTCATTTGTAAGTCGCTTAAATAAATAAATAAATAAAATCATGGCTCTTGCAGTTTGTTTTGCCACTCAGAGTCTCTCAGTATTTCTCTGAATGTTTGAACTGAATAAGAGAATCTGAACTGCTCTACACATGCTAATTATGGACTGTTTCAAAGCTGCCTCACACACAAATATGAGGGAAAAAACAAACAAAACATTGATTGGTGTATATAGTGTACAGCCACCTACAGAACTGAGGAATATGCCAACATGATGTTTTTGGTCATGGCAACATGATCGTGCACAAACACATTTAACCAGAGCTAGATTTGTTTAGTATTTGAATTTATATTTGAAATGAGTAACTTCTAGAGCAATAAATGTAATGTATAAATGCACTGTATAGAAAAGAGTAGATTGAGATTTGGGAAAAACAGCTTCTCAGAACAGGTTCTCACAAGTGAGAGATTATGTACAGCTCTTTGTAAGAAAAAGAAAACTTCCTCAGACATTCTTGATAAGACGTCGAACTGCAGATTACACGTCAGTTTAGGACAGTTTTGTTGCGTTGACTCGGGCGTCTTCTTCACAGAATTGTTTAAATACTTTTATAATTACCATCTTTGTAGAACTTGGGGAGTGATGAAGTTGACAGATTGTCGAAAAAAAAATAAAAAAATTTAAAGAATGTCTATAGTGTCACAGTTTCGGTTTAATTTCTTTGCCTTTTGGTTTTCCTTGTTCCTGTAAGTCTGTGTTCATGCTAGCTACTCTCCTTAGTTGTTAATTCCACTTGGATATTCTGAGTTCCCAGTAGAAACGTTTAACTGGAATGCCCTCCCACGTCGGAGTTCCAACTTTGAATTTTGGAGGAATCATGACAACTCCAACTTTAAAATCCAAAATGGCTGCTCAGTCCATCAACGGAAGAGAAACAGTAGCAATATATTGTTTATTAGCACTTATGCTTGTCTGTGTTTCAATAAACACAGTAACGATTGCAACTGAAGTGGGAGATTGTGCATTGAACAAATTGTTGTCCTGAGGAATATTATCGAGCAAAGCATTCAATTTAGTTGATTTTACAAAGGCATTCAGTAGGGTTCATCGAGAAGCACGTGATGTGACCCCCTCTCTCTCTCTATCTCTCTCTCTCTCGATCTCTCTCTCGATCTCTCTCTCTATCTCTCTCTCTCTCGATCTCTCTCTCTCTCTCTCTCTCTCGCTCTCTCTCGCTCTCTCTCACACACACACACACACACACACACAATGTGCACAACTCTGCATTTGAACAGTCAATAGCAAATACTTAAACTAATAACGAAACAGTAGCTGATTCAGAAGCGCCGGATTGTCATAGCAAAGTCAGAATTACTTCCTCTCCTAGGTTCACGAAACGGTTGTCTATAAAATGCATTGCTGTTCTGTTGTAAGTGATCTTAAAGATTCCTAAATGCATCTACTTTCGGAAGGCCAAATAAAGTGCTTTTGCTTTCGCCTAGAAAAACACACAGCGTCTCCCTGCAAGCTTCTTCAACACTAACTGCGGTCACTGAAAACCACGCCGCCTTTCTTTGCGTGCACATTTGGGGGCATTATGCTAATATTCCCACATAGTGAAGTAGATATGTGGGGGCGTGTTGGAACGAGCCGTTTTAGGGGGACGTGGCAGAGTCTTAACTTTGATAAAGAATATCTCTTTGGTTTTGAGACTTTAGTCTTTGCAACTTCAGGGATCTTATCTATGCACAATCAGCTTGTAACACTCCAAAGAGAAAGAACAACTTGAAATCGCATCATATGACCCCTTTAAGAATTTAGTTTTTTTTTCTGGAAGTGTATTTGTACAGAAATCACTGCCTTTATTATGTTTAACAAACATTTAATGACACCAACGATGCATTGATGTTTGTTGAATTTCAGCTTTTGATTGATTTCATTAATTGTAACTTTATTTGCATAATGTGCATATAACATTGTCTTCATGAAGTTTACCAATGACACCAAACCTGTCTCGATGTTTAATTTAGAATGCAAGAAACTAACTTGTGAAGCTAACATTGTTTACTATACATTTCCGATGTGGTCTGTGCTTATTTACAGTGCGTCTCTGTCTTTGCCGTGCATTTCTGTATTTGAATGTGTTGCAAGTTTTTGCAACGTGTTCCTGTATTTGGTTGCATTGTGAGTATTTGCAGCATGTGTTGTCAAACTGATGAAGATGTTTTCTTAATTTACTGGTGTTTCTTCTGTTTGCAGCACATTGAGCTCTCTCGGACACCGTATCAACCTTCATATACCAAAAAAAAAAAAAAAACAGCCTATAAGCTGGTTTTAGCTGATCTCCCAGCTGGTTTATCAGGCTGGATTTAAAGGGGTTTTGACCACATTTTTAGCTGGTCTTACCTGTATTTTTTGGTCTATGTAATATATCCCATAATAATTATAATATCCTTGCTGCTGCTGTTTGTGGAGTTGTTTAATCCTCTTCTGCTGAGATCTTGAGATTTAATGTCTTTTATTTCAGTTGATTTCATCTAATGCCAAGTTCACACTGCACGATTTTTAAAGACGTCACGTCACTGTTGGTTTGACACTGAACGACTATCTGGGGTAGCATTCAGTTGTTGTGTTCACACTGCACGATGGAATGACGACAGGAGGTTACACACTGCATGACTTTACAATAGGAAGAATCGCAGACAGCTCTGTCTGGTGCAGGATTGCCAGGTTTTCCCTACAAAACCTGCCCAATTACTACTCAAAACTAGCCTGAAAATAGCCCAATTGCTTTCGAGGGGGTCCCCCAGTAAAAAATAAATCGCACTCGGGGGGTAAATTAAATTTTTTTCTGGCAGGGTTCTCCTGGTACAATTCACATTCCAGGGCCTAAATATCACGTTATTGGGGTCGCTTCAACCTGCGGACATAATAAACAACCGGCGGCGATTGCAGATTTGGCAACACTGGTCAGCAAACTACGTTTCACATAACTCCTCCCCGAACTTCCCGCTGCCCTGTATCTTGGTCTCTCATTGGCTGTAGGTCATCGCCGATGTGTTTTTCAGTCAGAAATCATTGCACACAGCGTGATTGTGAATCGCCGACAGCTCCAGATATTTAGCATGCCAAATATTTCACGGGCATCGGCGACGCGTCGGCGATTCCCTCAGATCGCGTCTTTGATAATTCACACTGCGTGATTGTACCTCGCGTGAACGAGCACCGATGTGCCTCCGATTTCGGGCATTTGTCAGCGATTTCGCAAAACCTTTCGGCGAGTGAAAAATCGGGCTAAAATCTTGCAGTGTGAACTCAACATAAGGCTGTGGCTGAAGTCAGTTGTAGTGTTTTTCTTTTCTTCAGTGATTCTGCTTGTTAACAGCAGCTGGTCATCTCCAATTCTCAATCAGCACTTAATTAATCACTTAATTATCTCATTAACTTTAACTCTGCTTCAGTGTTACTTTAACACTCTTATAGAGTGGGACCATATATGCTCTGTATAGAATTCATTTAACACAGATTTTGCTATGTAATACTTATTTGCAATTCATTTATCTTTTAAAAGTATTATTTATTGTATTAAAACAATCACTGTGACCATCTTTGCTGTGGCCATCACATACAATATTTCAGAGAACAAAAATAAAACTTTCCATTTGATTCTAATGGAAATGAGATGTGATGGAGAGCACATCTTTGACAGAGAAACAGACTGACTGTTTGGAGATCTTAAGAGTTTACAACATGATCTAAGTCAGGGAAGTCATTAGAACTAATGATTATGGGTGTAAAGGTACAAACAAATTAGGTTTGCATAGCTCGGTTTTGAAGTCTCGTTTGGAAGTTATTGAATAAAACTTTTTTAAAGTGTGGTTTAAGGAACAAACTATGGCTTTGTATTAAAATAATAATAATACAACAAGTCTGTGCTACTGCTGCAACAGTTTATGGTGCTATGGTAAATATTTCATAATTTAGAGAGGATTTGGCAGTATTTAACCCAATGTCTCAGTTTTAACCCAATAAAATGGACAGTGATTGCTGCTGTAACATTGGCAGTGGCTAAATATTGATCAGTCTATGAACATATTTTGTAACATAAACACATTAAAATAATACAGGAAAATCATGTTTTAATACAAAATTCAAGCCAAGTGACATTACAGATTAATTTAAGACATTAGCTGTTAATTTACTGTACTTGTTTTTTGTTTTTGTTTTTAGTTTAATTTTATACATAGATTCACTTTACCAATAAAGTCTGTGTCCTTCATTCCTGCAAACACATTTTGCTGTTTATATATATTGTATGATGCATCTGAATATTTAAAGTACAGTACAATGTTTAACGTAATCAGCTGTAAAATGGGCCTTTACAGAAGAAGTAGTCATTTAGTTGGAGCTTTCTGAGCTCAACAAAACAAATATATAATAGTAGAGTTTTAAAATTGTTAATCTTAGACAACAAGTCATTTATTTTCCTTTACCATGTACACATGAAATAGTTTTCAGGAGTTTTCTTTTCTTTTTAATTTGCCATCATTTACTTGAAAATATTTAAGTGTGATTATTTTGAGAAATCTGTAAATATACGCTTTTCACCCTTCACCAATTAAAACAAACAAACAAAAAAAGTTTAAAGAAGACTAAAATAGTTCAGCAGTGAAACAGCTTTACATCAATAGTATTAACAGCTATAAAATAAGACACTCAAATAACATGCGTTTCTATTATTTGTAGAAAGGAATCTCAGACTATGACATTTATCATACAAAAACATAGATTCTGTTATAAAATCACCTGTATATTAATGGAACTTGAGCAGTTTGTATCACTTCATGAACATGATGCTGTGGTCCTCAGTGTTGTTTAACACAGCAAAGACATCTGAAGAACTTCCTGTACTGTTGCCTGACCTGGACAAGAATGAGACGACAGGAGCTGAGTGACTTCATGAGATCAAATTACCCTCTGAAACCCATGAACCAGAATGGAGTTTGTTTATAAAAAACAGGTATGAAAAAGTGGCTTTGGAGACTAGATTCGCATTTTTATAAATAAATATTCACACTTTTCTTCCAGGGAAAAAAATAAAATAAAATAGGAAAATTATTTTAAACTCTGATGTTGGCTTAAAGCCCGGGATACACTGCACGATTTTAGCAATCCTATAAGAT